GTGATGGGTTAGCGACTGTCTGGCCTGTGTTTCCAAAGGGAATGGCAGGAGAAGGAGACTCCTGCACAGCGCTGTCAGGCAGGCATGGAGCCGGCTGAGCCTTGCTGTCCCTGCTCACCTGCACGGCTTTCTGGCAGCAGGACAACTGTTCTGTTTGCAGCAAGTAGAAACAGATTTCTTCTCGCCTTTGAAAGGTCTCCTCCATCATCTTCCTCTCTCAATGGATTCTATTCGATTCATTAGGAAATCTTAAACTTTGAATGAAGTAAATTTAATGGGAGGGAAGAGGGAGGACTGGTAGAGCAGGAGCTGGAAATGGTCTATCTGTAAAGAGCAAGTGTTGCACAGAGCAGAGCAATCTTTCCGTAAAACTTCTTGTATCACTTGTTTTGGGGTCTCACTTTTTAAGAAGAAAAGGAACTTTTTTAAAAAATATCTTTGTTGTTTTTATTGAAGTTGCTAGTTCAGCTGAATGCTACAGCCCTTAACACATGTTAAAGCAAATGCTAATCCTTGTTTGCAAACCTAGCCGTGTTTGAAGAACAAACTATTTCGGCTTTGTGGCTGACTTTCCTACAAAATCATTTGCTCCTTTGGTGTTCCACTTGGTTTGTCATCGTTTTGCAACTTGCTACAGGTGCAAGAAATACACTTGAGTGCCTATTGTGCTTTACTACATATTCCAAGAGCAAAACAAAATGAAGAGTAGTGTGTTTCACTTTGTGCTGGGAGGCGTCATCTCCTCCTACTTCAGCTGCAAACCACTGCAGAGCTGCTGGGTGCCTTCAAGGAGCGAAGCCCAATTGCGTCCACGGGTGCCAGAGATGGCTACAACACAGTGCATGTTCCTTAGTTGTAAAAATCACTTGACACAGTCTTGGAGAGCATTGACGAAGATTTCTGCTTACTTTTTTTCCTCTTGGCATTGCTTTTTGGTGACTATTTAGAATGTGCACATTCCAGGTGCAATGAATTTCCTCATTGTAGTCTCAGGCACAGGCAGGCAAACTGGTGTCGTTGGGAAGGAGTGGATCCAAAGAGACCTGGTGTCTCTGCCAGAAAGTCTTTCTGAGGTATTTCACACTCCCTCTGCACCAGGCAATGTCTGCAGTGCGTGTGGTCAGCACAGGGCACAGCTCCGAAGAAGGCCCAAATGGAAGACCCCAAATGAAGGGCAGGTTACGGCTCCTTGCCTGACACATTCCCAATTAGGCTTCTATTAGAAGGCTTGTTGCTTGTCTGTTTAAATATTGCGAAATAAAATGTTTTCTTCTATAAAAGTAATTGCATCAGTTTACATGCTGAAAAAAGCAAAGCACAAACTTTCGCAACTCTGTTGTGTTTTTGTTTTTCTCCTCTCTTTTTTTCTCTCTCTTTTTTTTTTTTTTTCAAGTTTATAACTACCGAATTGCCATGACTATGGTATCTTTCTAAAGTAGTAACATCTGCACTTCAGTGATGCCTTGTTCATCTTGACTCCTCCTCTGGGGTAAAACTTAATTTAAGCATAAAACAAACGATTACACTTTCTGTAGAAACTGAGAGGGGAGCACAGTGGTCCCTCCTTGTAGCCCTGGCTACAGCAATCCTCTAAAGATCTCCCTGCCCAAATTCAGACAAACATTAATTGAAGTACAAGACCTACTTTAGGCACAGGGTAATCTGCTCCAGCCTTCTTTATTGCTATTGCGCTAGGAGCAGTCACTCCTAGTGACAGGGCTGGATTTTGCCTATTGAAGGTCTGGTTTTAGCAAGTCAGTGCATTTCTATTGTTAGTGACTGGGAATAGCTCATTCCAGCTCTTGTGTTTCCAGTGCTGTGTATACAGGAGTGAAAAAAAGGGAGTCCTTTCTCACAAAAGCCTATTATCTTGGGCTTTGGAGCCTGTTGTTATGGAGCTGTGGAGAACACAAGAGATGCAAGGTTTTCTGAGGGGCAGGTTCTCTTCTTGATCTTCTTGAATAGAGTTTGTTCACAAAGGGGCCCTGTTTGGTTTTAGTCCTCAAAAATATGCCATAGTTTTACAGACTGGGGTTAAAAAAAAGGCCTTTTCTTTTCTCAGAGTGACTAAACTTTTCAGGGCATACGTAGCTGTCCCTAGGTGGTGCTTTGTGGTGCCAGTGCTCTGTGGTACCCTTCACCGGGGCACAGGGACACCTACGGAGGGCACTTGGAAGGACTTGGAAGGCACTTTTTGCTGTCTTCTGCATCCATTGGCCGCAACGGCTTGGAAACTTGTTGCACTGAAGTTACAGCATCACGTGAAAGTTATTTGAAGGACACATTCTTTGTTGCTGATTACATGAGCCAGGGAGGTACTGTCAAAACAGTGGAGAATTGGATTCTACAGGAAAAATTGGAAAACACTGATAAATTGAAGTGGTGAAGTTTGTATCCAGTGCAGGGTCACGAACCCAGAGGCTTAGGAATGAGCCCTCAGCTCATACCTGGAATGCTTCTCTATTGACACCTGGGGACACAGAGAAAGTCCCGAGCGCTCTGGTTAATCATAAACGGGCTTTGAGCTACTGGTGTGGTGTAACGTGGCTATGCACAGCTCCACAGTGCTCCGGGGAGGACTTTTCCAAGGGAGATGGGGAAACACTAAGGTGGTCGCACTTGCAAGACTGCACCTGGAATTGTCCGTACGGCCACCCGTGTCAGAAGATGAATTCACCTGAAGCAGGTGCAGAAAAGAGCTACGGACATCAGCAGTGAGCAGCCCACCACACAGGAGCAAACTGGAGTTTAATGTATTTGTCTTAGCACAACAAAGGTTAAGGAAGAATGTGACCATGCTCTAAAAATACAATAGTGAATTAAGCACACAGAGTGAGAATGCATAACTAAACAGAAGAACAATATTGCCCCGAGCAATTACGTGTGTGGAGCTTGGCTGTGATCAAAATGTCTAACAAAAGATACATTTATTTATAAAGCTGGTTGCATGAAATGGCTACCATGACGTCGCCTTTGCAGTGTGGTCCTGCTCTTCCTGAACTATATTGCTCATTGTGTGTTTTCATTCTCCTCTTTGTTAAGCAAATCATATGCATCTTCCTCCCAGGTAGTAGCACTTCTGATATAAATGTTCGCAAGTTCAAGTGTTAACCACGCTGGTGTTGGACTAGATCAAGCAAACTCTAGGTACCGTGGGCAGGGAGATACATGTCAAAGAGGTGAGCAAGCCTTCAAGGATTTCAGCAGCACAAAGGCGGGGACCTCCTTTGCCTCTGCCTCCTCGTTTTTCATTTCTTCAGTCTTCCTACCCCGACCTTCAGCTTCTTGAGTCACCAGCTCCTACAACACTTACTACTTCTCTTCCCTGTATTTTCCACTCCTGGTGGTTCAGAGTCTGCCTGAACCACCTTTCTGTGCTTCTGTTCTCTTCCCAAGCTGAAAAGTCTCATCTTGGGTGGCACGTTAAACTGCCTGGTGCTTATCACGAATAACTTGCAGCGTAGGAGCTTACCTCACCATTGGGACGAGCGCTGGCAAACGGTGTTTGCAACAGCAGCCTGTCAGTCATGTGCCAAGAGCAGCGTGGCAAGGCACGCCAAACACAGCAGCCAGCAAACTGACGCACTAGAACAGGTCCCCGAGCTAAAACAAACTTTGGTTCCCAGCGTTTTGCATTCGCAATTCGGTCATGACGGTTTCTTACAACTCTCCACGGTACTTCCATCACTGCTGCCAGGGTACCACAGCACAGGCACGGCGAGAAAACCACACGTGGGCAGAGGTGAGGGCCCCTTGCCGGGCTCCTGCTTGTTTCTCCAAATTCTTCCTTCTGTTGCTGTTCCACAAAGGCAGAGACGATGCTTGTGCTGGGTGGGAGAAAAGGCTCTTCTTTCAAAAAGAAAAGGTGGGGAGGCAGAAAATATTAACTCGGAATCCCTTAATTGCAACAGGAACGCAGTCAACAAGCAACATAGTAAATTAATTAAGATGTCGGTGTTACTCGTTTCCTGGTGTTTGCTACAGTTCATGTAGTTGGACACCTTCCTCTTTATTTAACACAAATACTGAAATCACCAAATTTAGTTGCTCCTTTTTTTCTTACATTTTTTTTCCTGCTCTCTCTTGTAGCATTATGGTCACTAATTTAAAGTGTGAAGCTGTGTAACACTACTAGCTTCTTAAGAGTCATGGACATGCTGGGCACACCTCTCCTTCATTTTCTAGCTGTACTATTTTCTGTAATTCCCTATCCTGGAAGCAGACGAGTCCGGAGCTGTAGCTCATACAAGGAATAGCATAGAGAAGCGCAGTGAAGCCCTTGGGACACCCCTGGCAAGGTGGGCAGCCCTGGCAGGCTACCAAGCACGTTGCCCCTTGCAGCTTTCCAGCACAGATGAGCTCCTAGGTGAACTATAAAAGCTGCAGCTAGGTGACTAGCACTAAGTAAGGGGGGGGGGGGGGGAAACAATGATGTCACAGTAACTATTGAGCGTCCTATACCTGAGAAAATGAGAAACATGTGACTAGCAAAGGAGCTGCAGCCACGCAAGAGCAAGTTTGCTTTGAATTTGTCCTTACTGTGAAAGCTTAAGGAGGGTGAGGGGAAAACACCTGAGACCAAACAGCAGGAATATCTACATCAGATTGCAGCTGTATTTTACAGTATCTCACAGAAGTTCTTAACAATTTTCTTCTCATAACAACTTCTCCACTATGTAATATCCTTACTATTTCTGAGCCCCTGGAGAAAAATATCTCCCCCTCCCAGACATTTGAGCAGACTGCTCACTTGTCAAAGCCGTAGCTTTTGTTTCCTTCAGGAAGCCCTGGAATGATCCTCTGGCTGCAGATCTGTCCCGGGGCTCGCTGGGTGGTAAGGTTCCACCTGGCCACCTGCTGTGGCCACGCTACAGTGCCAGAACTGAACTGCTGCTCTGTTATGTCAGGGAATTGTTTTTTCAAGACAGCTGTACAAAATGTTCGTAGAGGCAGGCTTTTTTTTATTCCTCCCCCGACCTTCTTGTGTTCTGAAACTCCTTTGCTCTTGTATCAAGGGATTGAACTACAATAAAAACGATACTGTTCGTAACTGGGGAGCCCTGGCTGGGTGCTGGCAGCAGCTGCACAAACCTCTGCTCAGCAGCCCCGTAGCACCCTGTGCTAAGCCTGGCATTAAGCTACCTCAGGCCTTGCTGAAATGCGCAGCCACTTGTGGTTGGTTTGCTAATAAGACACCGAGTATCTTGAATATCACCTCAAAAAATGTGAGGTGTTGTTGCTTATATCCTGAAACTCACTTCCATGGTGGTGGAACTCCAGTGTTGCTTAAAGGACTGCGGCAAGAGCTCTGGGTATGGAGTCCCCCAAAAGGACAGCACTGCAGAGGGCGGGAAGGGGCTGGAGGCTTCTTGTGGTTACTGGGAAACTAAGAGCCCAGAAATTCAATTACCCACCAGGATCTTTGTTTTACAAGTCCTTAGAGCTCTAAGTTGAAGACAGGTCTCAATCATCAACAAAGTTTTAAATGACACTATTCAGAGTTGTGGGATAAACACGTCTTGTTTGTACCTTCTCTACCAGGCAACTCATTGTGTAAATGATGATTCAGATGTCTCCACTTTGAAAGCTAGCAACTAAAGAAGCACTGAAGGATACCTCAGAGCACACAGAAGATACTGGAGACTGGCTTCCAATCCCCACTTTAAATCAATGATAGCGTGGGCAGGGTAACAGGTTTCCCCTTTTCTGATACAAATACAAATTGGCAACTTTAATCTTTCACCCTTCTGCAACAGTGGGAAAATGGAAACAACATTTGCAGGAGCTTGTTGGTTGTTCTGGAAGTCTTCCCAGTCCACTAACATCATAGTTTGAAAATTGATTTCATACTGTATTGAATAACTGTCCATCCAATGGGAGTTGCTATAATGCTTCCGGTGAGCTCAACTGCAGGAGCTAATTTCTTATTTAGTAAGTACTAATTTTAAGTGCTGATTACAGAGAGCAACAATGTAGAAAGAAAACAAAACCAAAACCAACCAAATACAGATCAAAGACTAGAGGGTATTTCCTCCAAAAGAAATCTGGAATTAATCCTCCTTGCAATGGATGTAATCAGTAAAATTTGTATTCGCAGGAGCTATTTCACCTCCTGCATGTCCATGAGGTAAAGCACTTTTAATGAACTTCCACACATTGTTTCCTTTTTTCCTTTTGCGTTTACCTGCCGGTGCATGGATCCTTGATACCTTTGTTCCATTACAGCTCGGCTGGTTGTTTTCATTACAAAAGCCTACATTCCAGAGGGAAACCAAGCCCTTTGGCAACTGGGCAGTTTTCACACAAAGGTTTCAGGTTAGTTCTCTACCGAGCCAGATACCTTAGACGCCCTCTAGAGATAGGAGGGGAAAAAAAAAAAAAAAAGAAAAAACCCTCCACAGGCAACACACAATTTGAATCTAGTGAAAACAGTGTCAGTTATAAAAGGGCTCTTAATAACACAAACATGTTTGCTTAATGACTCACTTCAGCTTAATTACATAGTAACAAGCTGTTATGATTCCATCCTACATTACTGCACATGGTCCTCTTAAGCTACGTTATTATTTCTGCAGAATAGAATTAACTGCAAAAATACATTTTTAGAGAGCCACTCCCCAGCGTTCCTGTTTTAGCTGACTAGCAAGATCTGTGCTACAAAGAAGAAACAGATTTCTGATGCGGAAAGCCACTGCAGTCATGACTCTTCATGTCTTCTAGCTGGATCACTGGGAATTTCACTTGTTTTTCAAACCATTTGGCCACAGTGAGAAGCTGCTTCTCCTGGAATGAACGTCCAACGAGCTGAAGCCCAAGCGGCAAGCCTCTCTTGGAAAGAGCTGCAGGAACACTTATGGCTGGCAGTCCTGAAAGGAGAGAAGTTATACACAAAAAGGTTTACCATTAAACAAATTCTATCAGATTCATTTTCATAACAATCCTAAGAGAACCAGAACACATATGTGTACAGAAAAGACACCAGTTAAAACCACATAAGCCAATGAACTAAAGGTACTGTCAGGCAATTAAAAGGCAACCAAATTAGAGAGATTTAAGGAGATAGCATCTTCTCAAATGGGAACTGATTTTCATCAGAAAGATTTCAGCTTCCCAAATCTGAAAGATTCATCTTCTCTGCAACATCAACTCAGCTCCAAGAAGCACTGTTTTAAACCAGCTTTATTTTTTAAAAGCATCTTATAAACATCTTATAATCCCTCCTCACCTGCTTATCACTGTATGATTTACAACATAGGTTTGATATATCTTGATGCAAAACAAGAGGTTAAATGACTGAAGGGAACAGATAAAAAACTAACCAGGAAGGGAAAAAAGCCCTTGGATCCCTGTCCTTACTCACCAGCCATGTTTGCAGCCTGTGTTAGAATATCATCTTGCGCACTGCGGGTTCTGTTGTCTTCTTTGATGAATTCCACGTACGGTGCCGCATCGCTCAGAGTGGTAGGAGTGAGCAAAATATCAACACCACTTGCAAAAACCTTCACAAAGTCATTGGCAATGAGGCGCCTGACTTTCTGGGCCTTGACAAAGTAATTTTCATAGTTTCTAGAGGGAAATACGGAGAAGAGGGTTGAGTGCTTTAATTCTGAAAATGCAGAGGTTAACTTCTTAGTGAGTTTAGAAAATACAAGCTCATTATTCCTCCTGGTTAAAAGACAAATACACGCAGTGGAGTTTTTGATATACTGCAAGCTTAGTCATCAAACATGGTGCTTATGCTCTCATAGCTACTAATGGGTCAGGGAAAACAGACTGAAATATTTTTCTGTAGTTCATGAAGCTCTAAACTCTCCTTCTGCAATTCTGAAGCAGAAACAAATTGGTTGGCTTTGTTTATAATTCCTTTTAATTAACACGCAGAATATCTCTGGATTTAGAAGTTCTTTCAAAAACAATGGCTATCTAAAGGGAAAAAAAAAAAGACTCTAAAATAAGTGTACTGGTAAGCGGATCCTAAGATAGAAAAGTCTGCCAGAGCACGTAGAGATAAAATAACTTAAATTGCCCCAAATCCAATCTCTCACCAGAATAATTTAAAAATTTAAGTTTCCAGAAAACAAATGAAAACATCTGTAAAAAGAGAGCCCCCAGATTCTAATTAACAAGTTGTATTATGAAAACCAGCTATCTTTGAGTAATTTCTGAAGTCATGCTAGCTATTAACTTAAGGAAACAAAGAACAAAAAGGAACTCAAAATATTTAGCTGGAAAGACTATTTGAGATTAAAAAAGAGAAAAAATGTTAAATCAAGCACATATTCTCTATTAATTCTGACGTGCTTACAAACATCTAGCATTTCATGAATCAAACAGCTAGCGATTTTACACATTTCCAAAGGCAGATAAAAATACTCAGTGAATTGCTGTGTTTGCAGAAGAGGCTCCTGTGTCTGCAGCTTGTTTCAAAAACGCTTTCTGAACCCTGGGTTCTGTTCTCCAAAAGCAATTTACTGTTGATAGGAATAGGACTCCTACTGTTTGGTGTTCATGGAAGCCAATTTTGCATTCCTTCACTAAAAAGTGAGTTACATGAATTTTAAAGCATTCACTCTAGGCTTAGGAAAGCTGATCTGGACAGTTGTAACCAGAAGGAGCACACTTAGCAGGAATGTCAGCATTCCATAAAAGCTGGTTGTTACATACTCACTGGCAACATTCCTGTCTGAGAGCAGCTAGAAGTCAGATCTCATGAAAGCTCTTGCTGACAGAGCTTTTTCTATAGTGCATTTGCTTTGAGACTGATTGCACAATTATTGTGTTTTATATATTAAAGAAAATACAGAGAAAACTAAAGTTCTAACAATTTAAAGTTATGTTTGTGAGGAATGAAAAAAAAACAAACACTCCCCCCAAACTCTGAACGATGCAGCAGTTTTCCTGCACATGTTTGATAAACACCTGACTCCTCTAAAATGTTAGTTCACTACTTTTGTCAGTGCCTTCCCTCTCGTCCATACTGAGAGAGGCAGGTCTAGTTAATTGCTACATCTTACTTCTCCAGCAGACTTCTGAGCAACTTTAGTGAGAATAATAGCTACAGAACTTCTAACACTTCAACAGTGACACCTTCAGTATGATTTCAACGACATATAATAGGATAGATACTTTTTGTGCAATTTAACAGGTGATAATAATACTCTGATGGGTAAAAAAATACTGTATTGCTTTACTTAACTAAGTCAAAATGCTCAGTGGTAGGACTAAAAAAGTAACATTTTCATTCATATTGGCAGTTGACTACATGATAATGGTACAGGAACAGCATTTCTTTTCCCAAGTCATGATAGCCAATTTCATTACAATTGGCATAAGAAATTGTTAAGGTGGTAAATTTGAACTTCAAGATGTGCTCTGCTTACTCTTTCAATAAAAAGTAGTTTCCTGATAGAATTCTTCCTCTCACAACATCATTAAAACCTTCTCGGCGTGTGGCAGCATACATGCTTTCTGTGGAGTGCTTCATGTCAGCACGATGACCTGAAAAGAGAGAAAAAGCCAATCTGGAAATTCATGGGTTTTGTGATCTTTAATATTTACCAACAGCAAAATTGCAGCACATATAGTAACACCATTTATTGCAGTCTGACATGCTACTATTTTGGAAAAATAAGAAAGTATTTTCCTTTTTTATTATAGAGATGTTACACAGTTTTTAACCCTAAATACTCCTGTGTCTACAAGTGAAATATTTCTATTCACCCTAATAAATGAAGAATGCTACTATATTTAATCTCTGATTTAAAGAAAAAAAAGTGCTTTCCAACTCCTGAAATGAACACATATAAATACTTCAATAACTATGGTGACCTAATACTGAGTTTATTTTGAACAAAGAAACAACAGAATTCCATAACATGGATCTGTACTCTTCAAAGGAGGTAGCTAACCAGTAATTTTCCCTCAGGCTTAAAAGCACATTTGTTAAAATAACTAACTTGTACTCTTATTGGAGCTTAAGGATCACAGAGCAGAATCCAAAAGCAGTAGGATGCTTCAAACATTATAAAAGTCTAGGTTCAAAACAAAAATGAATGCAATAGGAATATCTGTCAATGCTTTTAAGTGATATGCATCTCTTCTACATCAAATTACTGCAAAAAACAAAAGTGAGTAAAAAACAAAAGTGAGTCGCCAACTCTTCGCAATGCTGTTTGCAATGCTCTCTGGAATACTAGTACTTAAATCTTTGAAATACCACTTTGTATATGTAGTGACAATAGCGGTAAACAAGACACATGAACAAATAACAGATGAATATCTAAAGCACCAAAAGTTCCATAGGAACTTAAGGAAAAATTCCTTAACAATGAGGGTGACAGAGTCCTGGAACAGGCTGCCCAGGGAGGTTGTGGAGTCTCCTTCTCCTTGTCTATCACACAATCATTAAAAAATATAAAGTGAAAAAAAAATCATATGCAAGATAATTTTTACCCCCAAAAGGCACTGAATACACCATTTACACTGGTCCAGGTGTTTTAGTCCCCAATAAAAAGGTTAGCTTGGTTAGGCTGATTTTTTTTTTTCCTCTGACTAGCCCTGATAATGCACAATAAGGCACTGGCCACACAGTAGATTAAATTTAACAGTTAACAACAAACAAATAAAAGATGCAACACTATGGGCAGTACCATCATATATCTGAATTCAATGCCATCTCCTACTCTATCAAATACAGTCTAAACACCCAACAATACTAACTCATACTTACAAAAAATAAACAATGTAATAATTCTCCTAGCCTAAAGGTTATCTGGGTTTCACAACAGCAAGAGTACCTCCTTTGGGTCAGTTGAGAGAGTTACTCCAGCTTTATTTGAACAAAGTTTTGGCTCTACAGTAACATAGAGAAACATGACAAAAAAACCCCAACTCTGAAATGCATACATATTACAATTGATACTTTTAATGGGCTCAACAATGTTTCTATTATGTGAGAAAAACAACAACAACAGAAATTCTAAGGGCTTACCATATTCCAGTCCATCAAACCTGGCCATATTTGATGCTACTTCTGCTGTGCACAGCACATGATAGCAGACAATCGAGTAAGGAGTGTGGGGTAAACTCACTTCAATTACTTTAGCACCTGCATCCTTAAAAAGCTCAGCAGCCTTTAACCAGAGTGCCTGAATTTCACTAGAAAGCCCTGGCACGTTGTATTCCTTAAAGAAAAACAAGGAGAATGATTTTATACACTGGGTTACTTTCAGTGGCAATCAACATGTAAATGCCTATGTGCTATAAATACTTTGAAGCTATTCCCTCACCACCAAATGATTTTAGGAACTTTCAGCTTTCTGTACCTCCAATGTATTATAAAAGTTACAGATACACTCTATAGTGGTAGAAGTGAACAGCATTCAATTTTTCAAAATGTATTGCGTTAATTTCATTAGGCTCAACCTGCGTGTGCAAGGGAACTTCAGCAGTAATTTCTTGATGAGAAGTTCCCCTGTTAGCTATTTGTCCATCCATGTATTGCAGAGCAGAGCAATACATGGACTGCATCTCTTCATATTTAAACCCTAATATTAGGGTTAATGCAAGTAGGAAGCTAGAAAGAAATTTTGCCTACAACACATCAGCAGCAAGCGACATTTGCAGTTCCAGCCCACCAAATTAAGCATTGACAGGATTTAAAAGTTACCTTAGGAATTCCTATGCAGAGCTTTCTGACATCTATAGAATTGGAAAGTTCGAAGGGCTTAAAGGTGTCCTGAATTGTAGTAGAGTCCTTAGGATCATGCCCAGCAAGTAAACCTGAAATATGAAATGACATGTGAATAGAAAAAAAAAAAAAAAACACAGTGAAAAAACTGAATTCCATTTGTTCTGTGAACAAATAAACAAAGATATATTTATATATAGTAGAAATACCTAACACAACTGCTGCATCATCCACACATCTGGTTAAGATTCCTGGCACATCCATGGAGTTCACTAGAGGAATGAGACCATGGCGAGAAATCAGTCCATATGTTGGCTTTAAACCTACTACTCCACAATGAGCAGCAGGGTTTCTCGTAGATCCTCCTGTGTCTGACCCTAAAGCTCTACGGTTTCAAAAGAATTACCATTAGTAAAATAATTCAAAGCACTTCCAAATAATGAAAATGCATGGCTTTATAATGTGCAGTTTTAAAAGCATGTGTACTCTTCCAGGTTAGAAGTCACATTGACACAGCCTAAATTTCAGTCAGCTCCCTACTAGTTTTTAAATCCACTAGTTTTTAATCTGTTCTCTGACACAGTCATTGGAAGAGCTCAGTCCTCTCCACCAAGCAGAGAGAGAGAGAGAGAGAGAGAGAGAGAGAAAATTGAGGCCCTCTGAATATGTTCATAAATATCTATTTCTGGCATCTCTGTTGGTCTGTCCTATTCCTGTGTTCTCTGAAAGACATGCCCCATGAAACTGTGTGTATTGCCCAGACATTCAGGTCTCATTTATTCCGTTGCCAATAGACAGTGAAGCAGCTCTTCCCAGTATCCACAGAAACAGTGATAAAATATGAATCTCCCCCGCCCCCCACTGAAAGGGAACAATTCCCATCAAAGTAGAGGATGTTTTTCCTGCTTTCCAGGTCTACCAAGCATGGCACCAGAAACCCCACTTTACGGTACTGTGAGTGTAATTTTAGTACACAATTTTTAGTTGTTATTATTATTGCAAGTTGACTTACTTTATTGTTCTTTTGTAAGGCAAACCTCCTTTCAAAACTGATTTTTTTACTTTAGGAATTGCAGTGGTATGGAAAAGCAGCACTGAAACGGTACTGATTGTCTTGTTTCTATTTTAGTTCAACACCCCTCTGGCAACTTTTTTTTTTTTTAAATAAAACTTATCATCAAGATCTTTGACAAATATAAAATTTAGGAAAGAGACATAATTTTTACTGGAGTGGGCGTGTGCCTTTTGCCATCTGTTTGTGAGATGGCTGAACCAACTGAATTGACTTTGCTGAAACTGAATTTTCTCAAAGCTGTTACGTTAATGCAAAACATCCTCATTTTGTTACATTTCTGTACATCCAAAACTCAAATTGAAGAGAGAAAGACTGGCAGCATTCTGGATGCTTGGAAGAAACTAAGAGCGAGAGGATATAGGCAATAAAATAGCTGGAAGCAAAATCTCCCTGATTTGACAGAATGCTAAGCAGTGCAGATTGGAAGGCAAGCATGCCCAAAAGCACCAGGGCTGGTGCCAGACCATCTCAGGATAAGGCCATTCTGGTGCAGGACAAGGAGCAGAAACCCTTGGGCCAGGCTGCACTGTGTTCAGTGTAAATGACAATGAAGAGTTAAAGCACAACTCTCAATCTTCTATATACTGAGCTCCACTATGTAGCTCTAAAACCTGAATAAACAGTAAAGGTGTAAAGCTTTAGGGGTCAGGTGTCTCTTAACGTATTTGAAAGGGAAGAGAATATAAGAAATTGCTTTCTTAAATACAGGATTGCTATGAAAAGCAATATCTTCATATATATGTATATATCTTTAATATATCCTTAAATATAGGATTGCTGTGAAAAATAATAATTAAGAAATTCTAGCTTTTTTTTTTCTTTTAAAAGATATCCATCTAGAATATCTGTACAGCTGGCTTCCTTCAAGTCAAGGATTGAGTGAAGTCTTTTAGTTCCCAAATCTCATGCATCTGTATTATTACATAACCCAGCTATAAAAAGGAAGAATAGGTGCAGTTACTAACAGGTTCAGGGACCCTGTCATTTCTCATTTGTATTTTAGTGTACACGTAGCACACATATGGGTGGAAAACGCTTTACAAATAGCATGCTGTTATTAAGATAGTATGTGTGAACAATGATAAAATGCCATTTCTTTATTGCCATTAGTATTTTACTTCATGCAGTACAAAGTGTTTGCATCAGAAACCTGTATAACACTTAAAATTAATAAGCTTAAATTAGTTCCTTCACAGCATGTAGATTAAAGATACTAAAATGAATTCTTGTGTACCAGTGGAAGTAATATTCTCATTTCAAACAAGATAAATATTTTCCATGAAACTAGGTTTATAAACTAGCTCATTAAAAGATAATAAAATTAAAGCTTGCAACATATTTTGAGGAATTTAATTAAATTTAAAAAGCATCTTACGCAAAACACGTGAAGGATGATACAGCTGCAGCACTGCCTCCTGAGCTTCCTCCTGTTATTACCCACTCTGAATCTTCATTCTCAGAAGGAGATTTTGATGGATTTTTTTCTTTGTACTGTCTTGAATAGCTCCAGGGGTTTCTGACTGGTCCAAATACCCCATCTGTACTCCCAGATCTAAGATATTCAGATAGGATAAACAAAAACAAGAGTAACATGCAACAACACTTTCAATAAGTTTCTCTTTTTTTCTAGTAACTCACTCTTCACCTTAGCAAATTCAATTTCTATGTGGAATGGCAGGCTTATGTATTTCCTTGTGCAATCAACTCCAAAAACGCTACGCAGAATGACAAAGATTTAAGAACTTCACTCCTTTCTGACACAGTACTTCAATTGAAACATGAACTCATAACTCACTCTGACATGTGCCAGTGCCACTACAGCTAATGTAACAACACAACATAGATCTGATTATGAGCCACTAACAGTCAAGTTGCACATCTGCTACAAATCAAAGCTCTTCTAGTTTCCTAACCCCACAGTTGGAAAAGACAAAATATGACCACTCTTGTGAAGAACTCTGTTGGTAGAAGCATGCACATACACACAAAAAAATGCCCTGCAACAGCAGGAATGATGAGCAGTGAGAACTGATGAGCAGCGAGCACAATGCAAAAAAAGCTTCTCCTTCTCTTGAGGTCACAGTCTGTTGGTTTAGCTTGACAGACTGGAAAGACCTGACACACAGTCCAGTTTCAAGTAGTCTACAGCAGCTGAAGTGTGGACTGCTACTAGAAGAAGGTTTACCACCTTTCCCCCAACTTCATGTTCTTCCTGACTCTAGAGTGTCCATGTAGTTGGTAGATAGTTCAACTATCAGATAGTTCAACTACCTGACAGAACGGGTAGTTGATAGCAGGTAGGGAACCATACCCAGATAGGACTTTTGAACTGTTTCCCTGATCAAGCTCACGGTGCAGTCATGCCGGCCCTAGCACAAGTGGGACCAGGCAAACACACAGTCCAGACATAAGGCCAGAGGTGGGACAATCCTTTTCAGAAGAATCTTGAGCTTTGACGAGCTCAGACCAGTTCTATCACTGCATAATCAGTTGTGGGTTCTTTTTTATTTTTTTTCCCCTATGTTCTTTTCTCTGCCCTTCTTTTTGACAAAGATCAAAACAATGCAGCCAGATTATTTCCTCCCAAATTGTCTGATTTTCCAATTAGTTCTTTAGACTAGATAAATCAAAAACCCAAACAAAATACAACACTTATTTTCATGGTTAAAAATAAATTCCCAGACATCCTTCCAGATCCAGCAGGGACCAATCCCTAACAATCCATCACTGCTCCCTCCCGTAGCTTGCTGCCTTCACTGATTTGCTGGAGAATCCATTCTAGATAACCCTTCCCAACTTGCTCCTGACAAAAGTAAGCAACAACGGATTTGACAATTTGAACTCTTACTCTCTATTAGTCTGCTCGTGGCAATTCAGGGAGAACACATAGGAATAACTGCCTCCCTGCCCGGGGATGATACCATGCCCTGGGGTGTAATAATAATTAGCTGAAGTTAGGAATCACCAGTGAGCAGACAAGGCAGCAAAAAAAATGCCGGGGTAGTAACCAGTTCTACTAGCATAGCTGGACCCCTTCTCCAAAAAACAAACAAACAAACATCAAAACTACAAAAAAAAAAAAAAAAAAAAAAAAACACCTTTCTTGCCTTTCACAATTGCTAGGGCTGTGTCGCTTCCTTTCCTTCAAGTATAGCTCTAGTCAAACACCATTTCCATAAAAAACATACATTTATGTGATTTGCACATTGGCATAAATATTCAGGAAGAAATTCATGCAACTCACTCCACACGTTCTTTGAGGACAGATTCACTATTTAGTAAACTCAGCCAAAGAGAAATTAAGGATTAGTTAAGGATTAAATAAGGTAAATCAGAACAGGTGGTGAATATTGTTTAAAGTGCAGTCTCATTAAAAAATAATAAATATCACTCACCCCATTGCAAATTCATCTAGGTTTGTTTTTCCTAAAAGCACAGCTCCCTGATCCAATAATTTCTGTACTACTGTAGCATTGTAAGGAGAGATATAACCTGTAAACAATCAGGACAGTTGAGACATTAGAAATCATTAGAAATGATTTTCACAAGGCACTACTGCTTTGGACACTCCAAAGCTGTCATTATTTTTGCCTAACAACTGTCACTTCATAGTGATAAAATTTTGTTTCATATGAACACTAGTAATTACCAAAATTTACTGAAAGTAAAATGAGCATTGTTCTGCTCACAAAGTTCTTCTTCTACAACTTATAAATCCAGAAATTTCAAATTATACAATTCAAAGTTGTAGAACTATGACTTCACAGAAACAGGTTATCATAAAAATATGAAATTACTGGAATCAGCCAATTTGAAGCAGCTATCTAAAATGTTTTCCCTTATCCCACAGAAAATGAAAAGAAATTAGAAATAGCTCTTTAAAGAAAATTACCAAGCTATGTTGAATTATTTGTGACTATCATGAGATAAAAGAGCACAGAGGTAGCCACAAGCTGAAATACTAACTGCCTATTCCACAATCAAGCATGTGATTCCTTAGAGCTTATAAAAATCAGAATGAGAAACATGCCACTTGCATGAGATCCTGGAGAGCCACCAATTCCTTTTGTGAATACTGACAGGGATTTTGCTATCCCAATCTTCAAATGCAAGTAGTGAAGAAGAAATCAAACGTACACGAGGAAAAAGCATCTGAGGTAATACAATGCCTTTTTTCATCTTCTTTTTTTTTAATATTACATATATATAAATATATGAGGAAGTGTTTGTTTCTTTTGTTATAAAAAGACAGTCATCAGATTACCTAAAAAAAAAATTAGCAGAACCCTATTCTTTTAGTTTTACAGCTTTCATTTCTACATATTGCAAAATAAAGCTGATACAAGAAATGCTTCTCCTTAAAAGAAAATTAAAGACTCTATTTGCATTGGCCTATAATAAAGATTTTATTTTAACCAAAGCCTTTTTTTGCCCCTGAGTGCTTTTACTAAAGAAACACATTCATTTATTGAAAAATCTTCACTGAGTTGTCACTTCAGTTTCATGAAGATACACGGATTTCTGGAAGACTTTCCTTCATGCTAAAAAGAGTCAGAGATTTGAAATGGGATCTATTTTACCCAGGAAAGCTCTACTGTACCTTTCAGCATGTTTGACGCACATGTTGTCTCAATGCCAGCTGTATTAAAGTTGTCCTTTACTGCAACAGGAATTCCATCTAGAATACCCAGAGGTTGACCTGGATGAGGTCAATACAAAGAGACAACAGAGATTAAATGAAAGGGTACCATATGCATATATTTTTTTCAACCAATTATATCTTATTTCACATGTTATTTTGCATCTTTGGGGGACATAAGGACACTATCCACATCACATGGAATGACTGTCTGCTACATTTTCAAAAAACACCTTCTGTTCTCTGTTTTAACTCCAGCATTAAGTCTACCCAAACCAGACTTACCTCTGCAGAGCTCTGCTCTGCAAATGTACCTACACCAGCAGCACAGGCAGCTGCTTTCACAGAGGTTAGCAAGCCCAAAGGGGTGCTTGCTTTATCAAACGCCACCACATAGTGGTTATTTCAGCCTCTGGTACTCCTTGTATCTGCCCCATCCCTAGGCTGGGGTCATAAATTCTGCCTAGCATAGACAACAGACACGAAAAAAAAAAAAAAAAAAAAAAAAAAGATTAAGTGCCGGGGTCAGGAAGCAAAATACTCCGGTTGACAGTTCTCTTAATCTGTCAAGGGAGCAAGCGTCACCCCAAAGGAAAAAGAAGTCTCCCCTCCTTCTCTTGTGGGGAGGGGAAGGGAAGGGAAAGGGGGAAGGGAAAGGGGGAAGGGGAAAGGAGAAAGAGGAAAGAGGAAAGAGGAAAGGGGAAGGGGAAGGGGAAGGCGCCCCGTACCTGCGCGGTGCCTCCTCTCGGCCTCCCGGGCCTGCCGCAGCGCCGCGTCCTCGGCCACGCTGATGTAGGCGTTGAGGAAGCCCGTGGCCCTCACGCGGGCCAGGCAGCGCTGGCAGAGCTCCGTGGCGCCCACGCGCCCTTCCCGCAGCGCTGCCGACACCTGCAACGGCCCCTGCGGCCCTCAGCGCCCCGCGCCGCGGGGCTGCCGCCGGGCACCATTTTGGAGCACGACCCCCCCTCACCCACAGAGACCCAGGCCCTAATGGCGGCCAACGAGGGCAGCGGCTTCTCTGTCCCATGGCCCCGCGGCGGCGCCCCCCCAAGCACCGGCGCCTCCCCAGGGCTCCCGGCGCCCCGGCTCACCTCTCGGAGCGAGGCGCGCAGCATGGCGACCCGTTCCACACCGCCTCACAGCGAGCGCCTGGGCGCCGCCATCTTGCCGTAACACCGAGCGGCGCCATTGGCGGCGCGGCGCGGAAGGCGGCCGCCCATTGGCCACGGGAGTGGCCCGGGGGCGGCTGGGACGGCGGCGCCGTACGGCAGCGCTGTACGGCAGCGCGGCGCCGC